ATAAATTGCAGCTAACTAGATGACAACTTTTTTGTTTATGTAGCTACATATTTAGATCCGCGATTTTGTAATTTTAAATTTATATCGAACAAAACAGAGAAAATATATTTTATTAAAAAAGCTCATTCTTTAGTTGTTCAATTGAACCATGAATTGCAGCTAACTAGATGACTACAGATAGCAAATTCTGATGACACTGTTTCATCGCATAACAATATTTTCTGTTCTGTAATGATTTTGGCAGCACTTGAAAATAACTCTTCAGAAGGCATTGATGAAGCAGTTATACAAAAGAGCATCTTTACTATATTTGACAAAACGGAAACTGGCATAAATTATTTTTATAAAATGCAAGGGAACATGAATTTTCCGATACTTTTATATTCATATTTAAATAATTGATGATTTCGTTGTCTACTGATAACAAATCTTCTGATGACACTGTTTCATTGCATAACAATTTTTTTCTTTTTTTTTGATGAACTTTTTTAAATAGATGACAACTTTTGGCTAGACAAGCCTTCAGTTGTCTAGCCAAAAGTTGTCATCTAGTTAAAGAAGTTCATCAAAAAAAAAGAAAAATTTTGTTATGCGATCAGAAGATTTGTTATCAGTAGACAACGAAATCATCAATTATTTAAATATGAATATAAAAGTATCGGAAAATTCATGTTTCCTTGCATTTTATAAAAATAATTTATGCCAGTTTCCCGTTTTGTCAAAGATAGTGAAGATGCTCTTTTGTATAACTGCTTCATCAATGCCTTCTGAAGATTTATTTTCAAGTGCTGCCAAAATCATTACAGAATGGCAAAATGGACTTAAACCAGATTTGGCTAAACAATGTGTCTTGTTAAACCAAGACATTTCAAATGGTCATCTTATTTTTTTCTATTGTAATTTCTGTTTTGTTTTTTTATTTTCGATTTAAATTAATTAAATAGAATAATACCACCTAATTTTTGTTTAGTCTTTAATCTAAGAAAAAAATTGCCAAGCAACATTGAATTATTATAATTTAAAAAATTCAAATATTTGACTAAATCGTCTTTTAGTCAACTTTGTCGATTTCCACAAAATAATAGAAGATTTTATTCGACTTTGAAAAACACCTTAATTGATTTTATCGACAGTCAAGTTATTTCAAGTTTGTAAGAATACTATTAAAATCGTAGTAGAAAATGATTTAATCCACTTATTCAAAATGTTAAACTATTTATAATTTATCAATTTTAATGTCAAAACAATCTTAAAGTCAATTATTGAATAAGTTGTTCAATAACTAGAGATTTCAACTAGATCATAAAAACATAAACATCAAGTAGAGGTTATAAACTGAATAAGTTAAGTCATTTTTTTCAACTAGAGGTTATAAACATAAAATCAAGATGCAGTGCTTTACCCCTCACAATATGAATGACTTTTGAGCATCAGTTAGTTTAAAAATTTTTCCAAACAACGTGTGTCAAGTTTAGAATAAACTTTCGGATATTGTTGAAGAGTCATTTCATAAGTTTAAAGAATTTCATAAGTTTAACAATAAATGTTTTTTTTTGTTTATCTTTTTGTTTTTTTGTTAATTAACCTCCTTAAGGCTGAGAAGGGCACCACAGACAAGGCTAATTAATTGTGGAGGCTACTTAATTGTGGTTATAACCCTCTTTCAACTCTATAACTCTGAAACACGAACCTTGACAAACAAGGCCGCTGCGCTGAGAAACAAGTTTAACACGGTAATACCAGGGGCAAGGTGTTGATCAAACTGGGAACCTTTTGATTATGAAATGAGTGCACTACCACTACACCATTATCAAATAGGTTTACTAAAAATGAGAAAACTTGGGTTTAAAGTTTAAAAAAAATTTAATTTCAACTTATAACTTTTTCAATTTGATGGTTAATAATAAATATTTAAATTTAAAAAAAAGTTTAATGATTAAATAAATGATTAAATTAAAAAAAAAAAAATTAATTAAGCATTAAATTTTTTAATTTAAAGGTTAAATAAATGTTTAAACAAAAAAAAGTATTATTTAGAATTAAATATTAATTTTAAAACATTTAACTATTTGATTAATTAAAGCATATTAACTATTTGATGCAAAATCTTCAAGTTTTTGATCTTTCTGCAAAGTTTTTTCTTTTTTTTCTTTTTAATTGCCCAGTAATTTTCGATATCTTTAAATTCTCAGCAATTAGGAAGATTGCCTGTTTTTTGCACAATGATCAAATCATTTTTTTTTTGTAAAACTTCAGGTCCAAGAAGTAAAAGATCAGATCCATGTATGAGAGAATATCAGACTTAGCTTTATTAATGACATCAATGAAGAGTTTCTAATAGTCTTTTGAATGTGTTTCATTTATGTCTTTCAAAAGTCAAGTTGGAGTTGCAAAAGTTTGAGTATAAACAACATCTTACTAAAACACCAAAGCAAACTTTGACTTCAATGAAAGAGCACTGTATACAAAAAGAAATTACAAAAAAAAAAGACGATACACTAAGAAGTTGCTTGGGTAAAAGAGCTAAATGAATGAAAACTTAAAGTTACTCAAAAAATGGTGCATATACATGGTCTGAAAGCAAAATTCCTAAACTTCAAATTGCAAAACTTGTTTGCACCATCTTAGATGGTCCAATCAAATTTGCACATTTCACAAACAATTAAGCACTGAAATCGACAACACAAACTATTCTGATGTAACTTGATTGTCTTATCTAGATAAATTATTATCAAGCATGCCAAAAGAAGAAATTGCTGAAGGTGAGAGCACTCTTGGACATGGAGCTGGTAGTTTATCACATCGTCTAAACTTATCAAGTACCTAAAACTAGAGCCAATAAAATAGATGTCAAAAAACATTAAAACAATGAACAGATCAGTCTATCAAAATCTCCCTCTGTTCTGCACATCTCAACATTCAATAAACAGTCATAATAGCCTTGGTGTAAAGTTTTATGAATTGGAAGGGATCATACTTATAGTGCTACAAAAACTGATGATATCTGCCTTAAAAAGAAATAATTAACATTAGCTAGATTACAGTTTTCAATGAATAACTATGGTGATCACAAAATTCATCTTATAACTGGTGCTGGTAATATTGCAAGAATAAAGTTGAAAAGCTTCAGGACTGGAAATAATGGAGAACCAATTGCTGAAGAAACCATATTTGGGTGGGCAGTTATGGGACCAAGAGTAGGTACTTTGGAGTCCTTATATTTTATAAAATCAACTAACAAATGCTACAAAGAGCTATACAGCTTAGATGTACTTGATTTAGAGAATTGAATGAAACCAACTGAAGTGTACAACAATTCTAAAGAACAATTACAACAAGACTCAATTGGTTTTTATTGCACTGTTACCGTGTTAAGAGGTTACCATGGAAAAAGGAATGCTTGAAACTAGCATTTTATTTGGATGGCAGTATTGCAAGGTTGTATAGCTTACTGAGAAAACTGGAAATAAAGCCAAATGATCTTTTCAAATATGACGCTATTATTCAAGAACAACTCAGAGAACAAAACAGTTAAATATGCAACCAAATTAACTTGCAAGAGGGTATTCTACATTCCTAATTAAGCATTAATAAAAGAAGATTTTAAAACAACTAAATTAAGGATTGTTTTTGATGTTTCTGCTGAAGGGCTTGGATCTTCACAATCATTGTTGTTTATTTTACTATTACTCTTATGATCTTTGATGTTCATAAGTTTATTTAAATAATTAAAATTCTTGACTGTACTAAGGTGATTTTGGTCATATTAACTTATTTCGTTACTTCTTCCATTTGTGTACAGACTATGTTGGGCGGCCACATTTTTTTTTTGTCATATTGGACTGTTAAACCAGATTTTTGGGTGTCTTCCATTTTTAACTACTCTACTTCCAATATCTGCTGGATTTTTGTTAGTTTGGCTGTGATGTCCTATAATCCAACTACTTTTATTGATCTTTTAAACCAAGTTAGAAGCAAAATGATTCCATTTACAATTGTTGTTAAAACTGAACTATCAAGCCAACTATATACCTCAACAACTTGGTATCCTTTAAGTGCCAAAATAATGTTTGTAAAAGGCTTATGCCATCATATGCCAAGAAATCAATTTAAGTCTAGGAATAGACAAACCTCGCTTGGAAATGCATGATTTGACAGTTCAAATCATGCATTTCCAAGCGAGTGAAAAAAAAAAGTGCTTTAGTGTCTTTGTTACCCTGATCTACTACTACTTTGTTACCCTGATCTACATTTGATTATAATGATTACTTGTATAAATTCCAATGTAGACAACTGTCTATAAACATATTCCAATGTAGACAACTGTCTATAAACATATTCCAATGTAGACAACTGTCTATGCAGCATTATAAACACCCTTTTTTAGGGTGTTTTAATAAAAATTTGAAAAAATCTCACAAGAAAATGGGTTTTTTTGTTTTGTTTTTGGCACTTTCTTTGTCAGGCTAACATAGTTTAATAGTTTACGCATATTTTCATATTAACACACTTTCAACTTATAACATCTAAATTGATGCAGTGAAGGAAGTTTAGAGCATTATTATTTTTTTCCATTTTGTCCAAAAAACTGAATAAAAATCATCATTTGAAAAATTTTGCACACAATTTATTAAGTGCACACCATATGTCTTTTCAGGGTTAACTTTTTTTTTTAAATCAACTTTTTTTTTTATCAACATTGACAATTCCAAAATTGTCAAAATTGATATATATATTTTTATTTGTATTTTATCTTTGAATAGGCAATATTTATATTCTGTATATCTATAGTTATTATTTTTTATCTCATAATTATTTTTATTTTCTCTCTGAATAGACACTCCTTATAACCTGTGCATTTATAGTTATTATTTTTTATACCATAATTATTTTTATTTTCATTCTGAATAGACACTCCTTATAACCTGTGCATTTATAGTTATTTTTTTTTATACCATAATTATTTTAAAATTGATTAAAATGATTGAATGCTTTTTTAGATTTTTAGTGATGTTGAGAGCCTGGTTACTTCATGTTTGGATGGTTACAATGTATGCATATTTGCTTATGGGCAAACAGGTAGTGGAAAAACATATACAATGGAGGTATTTTTTTTGTTTAAAAATTATTTATATTATATAAATTATATATATATTATATAAATTATGTATATTATATAAATTGTTATTTAAACTTCCCAATAACAATAATTCATAATAACTCATGAACAGTAAATTATTCATAATAACTCATAAACAGCAAAATATTCATAATAACTCATGAACAGCAACATATTCATAATAACTCATAAACAGTAAATTATTCATAATAACTCATAAACAGCAAAATATTCATAATAACTCATGAACAGCAACATATTCATAATAACTTATGAACAGTAAAACATTCATATGTGGCACATTGCTAAATCTTCTCCATAGGAAACAAAATCATATATAGTTATGCATTCCCTATTTCCTCTTTGGTAAAAGATGGTTCTTTTAATAACTTTTCTTTTTCCCAGCATAAACTAAACTATTTAGAGTACCATCAAAACCATAATTTACAAACTTGAAGTTGGGGGAGGGATTATCATGATTATAAAATCTAGTGGTATCAATATCTTTTTGACATACACCTGTTTTTTACTTGATTTGCATCAATGAAAATATTAGTTTTTATAGGTTTTTTAACTAATTTATTAAGATGATTTCATGCCATTTCATTTGTGCAGTTTTGGGCACATTTTTTAGATACAGTTCCTTGTCTCTTTTTTGTGATGTACTTTTGATATTTTTCATCCCAACACTTCCAAAAAGACTTGCTAAGCTTTTAGAAATTAAGCATTGTCTTTGTCAACTCTGACTTGTTTAGCAACTAGCAACTCTTCCTCATCTTTAGTAATAATTAAACAATATTTCTTCTTCTTTCCAATTTCAATGACAACAAGTCGTTTGTTAACTATTCTTACCTCTTTAACTATTGGAAATTTTTGTGAATTATTCACTGACATATTTATTGCTGATTCGATGTCACTTAACTGCTTATTTTTTATCTCTATGGCATCTCTTAGAACATTGCATCTTGATTTTTTATTTGGTTTAACTTTAACATTAAAAGACTTTCCCATTTCTTATTTATTCTTAACTCAAAATGAATATGACTTTCCTACTCGCATTTTAGTAAATGCATATTAGTTATTTAAGCAAACAAAGCAAACTGACCCAAGTGTGTTATTAAGGAGGTTTAATAGTAGAGCTATTAAACTTCCAAAAGTATACTGTAGGCAAAATACTCATTTAACAATGGCAAGAAGAAATTGAATAAAAATAACTTTCATTCACCTAGCTTTGTGAGGTTCCTTAACCTTTTGTATTAGAATATAAAAAGTGAACCAAACATTTAAAAATATACTCAGCAGGAAAAATAATGCTTTTATGTAGGAATTTATGATTTTCTAACTATAATTGGAAGCATTACAATCAATTATTACAATCTATTCAACCTGACATTCTGAGGTCCCTATTGAAAAAAGTATATCCTGATTATTTATAAAGTAAAACTTTACAAAAGAAAGTTACAATTACAAACAGTATTTTGTTTGTTTTTTAAATAAATATTCTTGCATTAAAGTTGTAATCAATAAATGTTTTTTTAAAAGTTCCCAATATTTCTTGTATCATTTTTTTTAAAAAAGACTATCATTTTTTTTCTGTAACCGAAACCAAAAAAGTTTGATCATTAATATTAGAAAAGCCTTTTTTATAGCATAGAGCGCAAGAGAAATAAGCATTTTTGCAATTAAACTTTGAATGAATGATATACTTTGATCTAAATTACGTATTTTTTTCAATATTTAATAAACTTTGAGTTTAAAAAACATTGAATGAATGAAATAGCGTATTTTTGTCAATTTTAAATGTTTTCACTACACAATCGTTTATAATGTTGCAAACAGTCTTTTAGTTTAAACTATAGTTTTAACTAAATTAATGTTAAAAATATATTTTATATTATAAATATAATAAAAATATTTTCTTTGAAAGTTATTTTCTTCTTATACGTTAAAAATATGGTTAGAATTCAATAAATACGGCTGCGTATAAACTTTATTAAATATATATATATATTTTTTCTTTAATATATAATTATTTTGATATTTCGCTGATCTATCGTGATCAGCGTTATCAGGTATAATAAATAAAACTAGCTGAATTGACCCGTAAAAATACGGGTCTTTGTAAGTCTATTCTACACAAACTTTTTCCCTTATTTTCTTAATCTAGCTGTCCGTATCGGTAAATACAGGTCTTTTCTTCTACTTCTATATTTATCTATTCCACGCCAATCATTTCTTTACTTGTTCCTTATTTACTTCAATATTTTTTAGTAAACGGTGGAAAAAAATTCATTAAAAAAATTTGCTTTGAGAGCAAAAAAAAACTTTAACATACGCACTTTTTCCGCATACGTATATAGCTTATTAAACCCCGTTTATTTATTTTTTTTTTTAAAAATTCTGAACTAAACTACTTCCTACTTTTAGACCAGCCATGCAGTAGCGTAGCAAAGGGCCCGCAGGGCCCGCAGCCGCGGGGAGGCCCAGAGTTATTAGGGGCTCAAGGCAACAAAGAAAAAATTTAAAAAAAAGTGTCAGTACAATAAATAACATGCGTATATCATTAGTTTGTGTTTTAGATTACCGTTTTTTTATTTTCATGTATAAATTATTTGTCTAGAAGGAAGGTAAAGGCAAGGTGGTGGGGGGTGGGGGAAAGGAATAGAAAAGAAGTAATTTAGGGGCCCGGATTAAATTTTTGCGGGGGTGGGGGGCCAATTTTTTGTCGCTACGCTACTGCAGCCATGGACCATGGTTTATGGTCGCGTCCTAGCCATTTTCAATAGTTACTATTTACTATATTTATTGTTATTATATGCTTAGTTTTGAATAATAACGGTCTTTTATAGTTACCTTTGTATTAGACGGAAACGGTAATGCAATTCTTTAAAACGTTAGTCACTTAAAGCGTCAAAAGTCATGCAAAAAAATAAATTATAAATTTTGTGGTTTAAAAGTTGAAAAACTAATAATAATATAATAAAAGGTTTGGTAATTTTTAAACGTTATTATTTAGCTCTTACTTATGGTATTTATTTTGTTTTCATTTTACATTTTTAAAAAAATTTTGAAGCACCTAACTACATGCATAACTTTGATAGCTCACAAGTTAAGTGCGCAGTCATCAGAGTCGCTGTGCAATGCTTCAAATCCGCGCCTAAAAAATCTCCATACATTTTTTTTAATTTTTTTAATCTGGCTATATTTATAGCAAAAAATTAAATATAGCGAAAAACCTTTTAATTGCTTTTTTTCCTCTGCCTCCACTGCAATACCATGTGGAGTAGCGGGACGGTTTTATCAAATTTTTTTCCTTATTAGATTTTAGGACTTTTTTTTTAAGACTATCCGTAGCTTATTAGGACCAATTATGTGAGAACAGTATCAAAATCATGACACGCACGCAACAAATTTTCGCCCCGTTTATTGGTGTTTTTAGAAATCCAAAAAATTTATAAAATTTAAAAAGAAAAAACGGTTTAAGTGTATAACATTTAACTTGTTTAACTTTACAAATATTTTGTAATTTAAAGATTCTAAGAAAAAAATCGCTGGTGGTAAATTTGAACCACGACTATTACGTTCAGAAGCTTAGCTCGCTAACCATTCGGCCATGCTGACACATCAAATATCGAAATTTTAAAAATATATAAAAATTGTTTTAAACGGAATTGCTGTAGATCAAAAATTAAGAAGAGGTTGACGCAATGCAATTTTTAAGTCAAAGTCAAACTATAAAACTTGAAAAATGTTTCAGTATGTTTCATCATTACTTAATTACGTACGTTAGATATTTGTATACACGTTTTCTTATAAAAAAAGTGTTGCGACTCTTTCTACTAACACTTTTAAGTTCGGCATTATTATATAGAAGATAGATAGATTATAAAATAGTTTTTCACCTAAAAGGACAAACTCTATTCCACATTAACCTTATCTCTATTTCTCCCTCTAATATTTTTTAGTGATCAATAGATTATGTGCTAGAAAAAAAAAAAAAAAAAATCACATATGCACCTTTTCCGTATATTTATATTTAGAGCTTAACATGAAGAAGGTAAACCATTTAGTTCAAGACAACCTGCCCAAAACCAAATCCTCTGTTGATTTATGCACACTCACTGTGGCTAGGCGTGTAAAATAAGTAGCTAGGCAAGTTAAATAAATTAACTTGATCTGTTTTTCTGCATAAAACAAAAACAGAAAATGTGAAGTACTTGATAAAAGGAACTGTAATATTGGATTTAGTTAATTCAATACAAAGTGATAGGAAACTGCAAAATAAGGTAACAACGTGAAAATTATTGAAATACTAATTTACAACAATTTGTATTGCGTTTTATTAAAATAGCTTTATTAAATGGTATGAAGATTGATGATTCTTCTTCTTCGCCTTTAGAAAATGATTAACGATTTGAAAGACTTTTAAATTGATTATAAAAGCATTATCTAAAAACGAAATAAAATCATTATTGATAACACTGAATGCACATTTATTTGTTTTATGTTAATTCATTTGAAAAATAAAAAATACGAAACGAAATTTAGTAATATTAAAGAAATATTAAACACTTACTTTGTGAGAGTGCTTTTGGAAAAGTCTCTAATATTTGGTTAGAAGGCTGGAAATAATCTTTTTTTTTAAAAAATCAGTTTTATCAGCATTGCTCAAGATAAAAATTTTTATTGACACAAAAAAATTCGGCATTTTTTCTTAAAATATTTCTTGGCTTTTAGTGAATGATTAGGAGTAAGTTTCAGTAATGAAGCTACCCAATAATCATTTTTAACGATAGACACCAACGTGAAGGTAAGCCAAGCTGTCTATCAACACAAAACATCACAACAACATTACAGGATGACAAACAATAACACCAGTAGTGTAGGTGGGATTTTTGTTGTTTCAGATATATATTTAGAAGCTGTTGAAGAGTTTAACTTTGTTATGTCTAAAAAAATTCAGGTTAGGAAAAACACTTTTTTTAA